TTTTCTTTTAAATATTCGTATTGTTCTCTCTATGTTTTATGACAATTTTGTACTTTTTGAATTGTTAACAAGTTTAGCGCCTGGTCAAGTGTTTGATTTGCTCTCTTTGTCTATCTCTCTCCCTCTCTCTCTCTCTCTATCCCCTCTAAATTTATTATTCAAATTTTCAGAGTTGATTTGTCTGCATTTATTATTAAACATTACAGGCAAGGCGCGATTTACGCATTGTTTATAATTCACTTAAAACTACATAAATTTTACTTTACATGCAAGCCGCGCTCACGTGCCCCAATGCCAAATGGCCGTGTGCGGGCCTGTGCGTTAAGTTTCCAATGGATAGAAAGACACAAATGTATCTACACGCTTTGTCGTCAAAGCGAGCTGAGCCAAGTATTAAGTCTCGTCACTAGACACCTCGTTTTAATTCAATCAAAAGAGCAGCGCTCGACTTGGCGAATATTTAGTCGATCGCTCGGGCGCAACGAGAACGCTTCACTCTCGCTTTCAGTTGAATATACATATATAACTATAGATCAGTGCTGCAGTCTCGTTCAGTTATATATAATTCGTGCTTCAGTCTCATTCAGCCGATTGTCTGCCTCCCAAGATGTTCGCTGATCGCAGCTCAAATTTATTGCTGCTGCTGCTAATGTTGGCTCTGTGTCACTGGAGCAGCGCCAAATTGCGTGAGTAGAGTGCAATGGGGAAATACATCTGGGAAATTCCGAATTGCTGTAGGTCGAACGTATTAGCCAGCTAAGCAGTCATCAATCAGTCAATCAAACAGCTCTAGCCAGGCATTGAGCTCTCAATTAAAATGCAATGCAATTTATAGGTGTGTCTAAGTCAGGGAAAGTCACAACTTTTCAATGTGGAAGGTGCTATAATAAAATAAAATCAATAAATCGTAGATTAATAACATAAATACAATATATATCAACAAATATATATATACATATTTACATATATTTTGTTTATATTTGGCTACTAAACTTTAATGCCTAATAAACTAAAAATTCTTCTTAATTATAATTAAAATTCATTTAAAAAACTAATTTTTTGTTAATAAACTAATATAATTCAAAATCAAAAACATATATTTTTAATTACTGATTATTATCCAAGCTGGATCCAATCAAAGCCCAGATCTTCGAAGTTGTTTCAGTGATTTGTTTTAATGAAATTACATATTTCATATGGCGAGCTCTAAAAAAATTTATAATTTCAATTCCCAAGTTCTGAAGTTAATAGAGAATTTTGTAAATATACACATTCTATTATATGCCTTTCATTACATACCTAATTTTATAATCTTAATTTCATCAAGAGTACAAAGTAATATATTTCAAAACATATTCGCATAAATTATTAGCTTAATCTAAGCTCTTTTTTTTTTCATTTTACGATTTTAACGTTATAATAGAGACTATTGCTGTATTACTCATATAGTCTGAGCCGTATAAGCATACTGACGGACCACCAGTCTGCCATCAGAAGGGCTACTGACCTGAGTCAAGTCAAAGCCACGATTTCAGCAATATCAGTTCGTCGATTGCAGCTGTTGCGCATATTAATTATGCTCAGCTAAAGTATACAACAAATTAGACGCCACATATGAAGCTTATATATACATATATGTATATAGTGTATGATATTGTAGTAGTAAATAAAATTGCAACGCAGCAAGTACTTCTGTTGAAGGTTGCACGTTTTGGACCAAGGTCGATATTTTAACCAGTTTTAAATCAACTTCCGCACTTTTTTATGTGCTTACTATTTGTAGCTTCTAGTATAACGCCCTGTGCTCGGAATGATCCCCAGCTGGAACGCTGCATCATCAATGCCGTCTACCGTCTGCGACCTTTGCTGGTGCATGGCAATCTAGGAGATGGCTATCGAACGCCCCCGTTGGAGCCACTGCAACTGGACAACATTGAGCTGGGCCGCAGCAGCCAGTTCCAGGCAACATTTTCGGAGCTGGAGGCAACTGGTGGTAGCAATTTTATAATCGATCGCATTATGTGAGTGTTATGAATAATTTGAGAAGCATTGGTATCTATGTGACACCTTATTTAGAGCCAAGCCGGAGGACATCTCCTATGATCTGTGGATAACGCTGCCTCGCATTGACTTCCAAGGCAAATACTCTATGCGACTGAATCTGCTGCTCTTGGACATTCAGGGCAAAGGCAACATGCGTGGATATTGCGGTTTGTGTCAGGAAATGGGATAGTAAACTCCAAGACTTATACTCGCATTTTTCTGATAGATAATGCCAAGGCGTCTGTCAAAATGCGCGGCACACGCTATTTGAGGCACGGTTTGGAGTACGTCAAGTTCACCAAGATGACCATGAGAATACAGTTCAAGGACTTTAAGCTGCAGCTGGACAATCTCTTCAACGGAGATCGCATTTTGGGTACGGTAGGCAACACCCTGATCAACGACAATCAGGACCTGTACCTCAATGAGATTGTGCCAGGCCTGGAGCGTGGATTGTCTAAGAAGTTTTTGGATGTGGCTAATGAAATTTTGGCCACGGCGACTTTCGACGAAATGTTTCCGCCCGGCCGTACGATCATAAATCCCATACATTTTCCCAATCCGAGCACAAACTCTGGATCTGGACCGGGTCCAGCCATATTTGAGCCGACTTTCACCTCGCGGAATCCCGCAGGTGGTATTTTGGATGAACTGCCTCCTTGGGGTCACAATCAGCGACCCAAGCAACTGTCTAAGAATCCGGGAGGCGGAATCTTTGGCGAGGTAACACCCGGAGGAGGCATCATCGATCCCAGATTGAATCTGGACAGTTAGTTGATATTTATTTTGTTATGTTAGAATTGCATTTCAGCAAATAAATTTGTTGTTATTTTATTTTCAATTGAAAACAAAAACATAATTTGATTAATTGTGGATGCAACGATTCACAGATTGCTCCGAGTGTACTTATAGATTCATTCAAATCTACCAAGAATTCAATTTAAACTGTGCTCAGAAATAATTTGGCTTAGAAGAATGCGATTTTGTCACCTGAATTTTGGGTACAGTTGTCTCCTACCCCAGCGCTAATTTGGCTAAGAGCGCTTAATGTCTTACTCCATTTGCTCGGCCTGGTCGGGAGCGAGGCTTGGCAAACTTTTTAATCCACCGCAAAGCTTGAACAGTTTTGCATATTAAGCGCAAACTTTGCGACGGTACAGCACCAGGGGGACACTTTAAGGGCACACCCACACACACGCACAGCTGGTTTTACACCTGTTCATTGGGCATAGGGGCAAGCCACGGGGAGGGCTGCCCGCCTCTGTGATTAATCACCGGCAGCGACAAAGATGAATTTACAAAGATTTTGCCAGATGCAAAGTTTTTTTTTTGTATATATAGGCTTTTTTATTTTCGTTAACTTTCCCGTTGGGCAGTTAATTGTGTTAGCTTCAGATGGACCCAGGTCCAGATTGAGAGAGAAAGGAAAAAAGTGTTGGGCGTACGCTAATTAAATTCATGTGACGCAGCTGTCGGTGCAAAAAGCATTATCGACTTTTAGGCGCAGAATATATCAAATGAAAATGTTTTTGATGTAAACACAGCTCGAGCAGCGGCAGCAACAGCAGCGTTTGCTCTCAAGCTGGCCTCAAAGGAAACCCTTGGCAACGGCCATTTTTGGCCAAGTCCTGCTGCTAGTGACGCTGCTGCTTCTTCCTTTTAGGACAAAGTGTCGCCGACATTAATTTCATTTATTAATTTTTAACTACGCCCACGCAACGAAATAAAAGCAACTTGATAAATGGGCGGACGAAAAATTTCAAATCTTTCGCGTGGCACATTTTACTTTTTTCTTTCGTTTTCTTTTCTTATTTTTTATTTTTACTCTCGTCTTTCTTTTGTGCCTCTCCCCCAAATTTCGTTGGCGCTTCCTTTTTCCTTTTTGTTGTTAATTTTTTTTAATTCTTTGCTTTTCACTTGAAAGGCGTTCCAAATGTGAAGATGCGCCGCGGTCCGCTAATGTCCTTTCTTTTATCATTAAGTAGACAGCGTGGGCGACTGCGAGTTGAACTTGTGGTTGGGGTTGGGGTCGGGGTTGGGTCGTGGCCAGTAGGCGTGGCAAGCGGCCATCAAGGCATTGTACGCACTGGGGTTGTCCCAGTACCTACGCAGGTATTTGGCGGCCATTAAGCTGTCGGCTTAAAGTTCTAAGGTTGCGCCGATGTTACAAAGTAGATAACGATAACGAAAATAACATATAATAGATATGATAGAACGAAGAAGAAGCATCAGAAATTGTGAAGCACAAAATTGATATTTTAATAATGAATAAATGCTGCGAGCAATTAAAATTAAATATTTATATGCTGCATACGTTAACTTGCCAAAAAAAAAAAAAAAAAAAAAAAAAAAAAAAAAAAAAAAAAAAAAAAAAATGAAAGAGACAAGGAAAAACAGCTTAAAATAAAAAAAAATAAATTGCAAGGTCTTAGCTAGACCTAATATTCCGTGCCACTAGTAGTAGTAGTATCAAATCTCATTCAGTGCGTACTGAATGAGATTTGATATATATACAGAATAAAGTATATATGAACTGTTTTTAGGCATAATATTTATTCACGAACTGTATATTCAGTTGAGTTGATAATATGAAGTATGTTCATATATTCCCATACAAATGGACTTAATGCTTTAATTTGCTTACAAATATATTTTTCTCTCTATGCAATTTATTGACAGAGAGAGATCAGAAGAGTGTCAAGTTACAAAAATTGAAAAATTGATTTTTTTTAAGATATATGAATAGTAAATAAACTATTTTAGTTAATAAAACCAAAGAACTATAACCAAATACTCAAGACTATTCAGTAAAAAGTAAAGTTTCTATTTAAGATTTTTTCTTTATTAAGATAATCATTACGATATGGATATTATCATTGTCCTAGTCCTAATACAGGATTGTATGTAGGTTTTCGTATAGTAAGTTTATACCCAGCAAGCTGTGCTAAAAATTATGAAGCTTATTTCCGGTTCCAGTGAAACCTTTATTATTTTACAAAACACACATCAAAATCCAAGAATTTTTGGATATAACACACCGTGTTCCTTCTGTTCGATTAGGCATTGAACATTGATTATTATATTTTATATATCGTATAGTAATACTGTAAATTTCTGATAATGCGCACCTGCCTGCAGCGCTTCTTCTGCCCCAACAAGCCTGTTTCTAGTACGGGTGTCCGTTCCACCTTTGTCTACCCGAACGGAGGCACCTATAAAGGGTATTGGCTGCGCAACAAGAATCATGACTGGGGAGTGAAAACCACGGCGGAGCGCACCGCTAGCTACTACGCGCAGAAGAAGCAGCCGGAGGGACAGCTTGTTTATAATGGCACATGGTCACATAACAAGCGCCAAGGCGCCGGCTCGATGGTGCGCAAACGCGGCACAGATCTGCAAACCGTGTACAATGGCCAGTGGTACGACGATATGAAATGCGGCGAGGGCAAACACTTCTATTCGGATGGCTGTGTGTACTTTGGACGCTGGCTTCGGAATCGTCGGCATGGCATGGGCATTCAGTGGTACGCCGATGGCAGCATCTATCTGGGCGAATGGGAAGCAGACTTCAAACACGGCCTGGGCGTTTACTTCTATGGTGAGTAGAATATCATTCAACAACAATCCTGATGAAGAGTAAGTATTCCCTTTTTATCCACATGCAGCTAATGGCAATCGCTATGAGGGTCACTTTGCACGGGGCCTTAAGAACGGCGAGGGCGTCTTCTATCACATGCACACGGGTCAAATCCAGAAGGGGGTCTGGGAGAATGACAATGCCAAGACGTCGGTTATACAGGATGAGCCCTATATCCGATGCAATGATGCAGCTACGCCCTATCCGATACCACCAATTCAACTCAAGTATCCCAACGAGATTATGTGCGAGCTTTTCAATCGCTACAGGCCCTTCGCTGAAAAGCCCCGGCGCCGCTTCAATGATAAGGTCAGCCTTGAGTTCGTCCATCACCAGCGACAATTTGCATCCTTTGAGGAACGCATGGCCACACCCACACGGCTGGATCTGTATCCCAATGCGGGCTTTGTGTGTACCTGCAGTTGCAAAATCTTGTGAGAAATAGTAAAAGGAAAACATTTCAGTCTGTTTTGCAAATTCAATCTATGGTTAAGATCCATCATTAAAGTCGTCGATTGATAAAGCTTTGAGACTAATTCTTTTGGGTTACAAGCACCAAACAAATCATATTATAAACCCACATGTAAGAGGGTGTTTGTGTCTGTGAAGTACAGGCACCTGGTTTGGTCAGCTCGGGTCGTTCGGCCTGCTTTTGTCAGCTTTTGTTGCCCCCAAAATATTTCATATGCAAATTTTTGGGCAGCACTAAGGAAACACTCTTCATACGAATATTCAATTTAATAAAGGATAATTTTTGTTGTTGGGACTTGTAATTTTTTTTTTTTTTATTATTATTCTAACTCAAGTGGTTTTTGATTGAATAGAACGTGTGAGAAAAGTTAACATAAGCTGTTGATTGCAAATTGCAATTGATGTGAATTGATTGGGAGCTGAACCTTTTTTTTAGCTAGGCAAACAAAAAAGAGTTTTATTTACATCTATTGCGAAAACTTTATCATTTGCCTTAAGCTGTTTTGATTTGTTTGAGAAAGTTGTACGCAACAGTATGCTTCCACTAAAGGCAATTACTTTTTCGTAGGTTGATAAGGGACCCTACCCTATAAGCCTCACAGAATTTAATCCAACGCTGAAAAATATGATGGTGTTCAATCAAAACATGTAGTAGATAGCCGTATTTACTGTTTTTTTATTTTTTTTTATTTATTTTTTATTTCTTATTAGATTCGTATTCCTTTAATTTGTTTATGTTTATTTTCCATATTCCAAGAAGCCAATAGGCATATGCTCATGCCACTTTATATGATTTCCAATAGAATTACTCTTTAGCAGTAAATCAGTTTGCATTTTCGGTTATTCGATCTTCGGTAGTACATTTTTTGTGAACAACCCTTTCAAATTGTGTTTACATTTTTTCATTAGCATAAAGTGCAGCTGCAGTGAATAAAAAAACTGTGAGGTGTCATTTTTTAGCAGCCATAAATTTTCACTATGCAAATGCTTATAAAAAAGGACGGGTTATCCTGGTGGCGCGTGCCTCACAAACTTCCGCTTTCGTATGCAAATCTCCATTGCATTGCCTTCAATTAAACTCGAACGGGTTTCGACACACGATTTAGCAGGAATAACATTCTCTCTATGCCGTATATAGGGATTGACGGAGAACAGCAATCGAGAGACGTTGTTGGCAGCTTCGGCAGCCTCTGTCATTAATTAATCTCGAGTTTCCGAACAACAATTGCACACGCTTAATAATTGATGGCAGAAATCGTAGAGGCTTCATTTTTTTTTTCTTTTTTACCAAGACAGCTCAACGATTCGATTCAGATTTGGTTAATGTGGTTCAAGTGGGGTTCGGGTTGGGAGCGGGGCGTTTGGTGGCCAGGAAGTGAAGCGATGCTTTGCCTGGCGGCCAAATAATTGCAAGTGACAGGCGCTTTAATTTTTCTTCCTCTTTGGCAGAGCTTATTTTTAGACCTGGCCTAGCTAGCTGCACAGTGGGTTTTGGGGTCCAGGGGTCGAGGCCCGGTTGCCATGTTTATGATCAACTTAATTCAGTGTAAATGAGCGGCCCCAATGAGGGTTGACAGCTGGCTGGGAGTTGGTGGTTGGGGGCTTCTGCTTACCACAAACTTTCGTCCAAACTTCAAAAAAACAAATCTGTGAAAGCAAAGCAGAGCAAACCAAAGAAGAGAGAAAATAAAACAACAACGAATGAAATGTTGAAACAGCTGAAACTTTGTTCGATAGCTTTTCTCCGTTTGCAGTTGAATGAAATGGAAAATTTTAATTGCTCACTGTGTATGTGTGTGTATGTATGTGGGTCTGTGAGTGAGCGAGTGCGCTTCGATGGGCAGCAGCGCATGGAAATTCATTTTATTGCGAAAGTATCTTCTCGCCAGGACAAAAATATTTATTGTCATTGGAAACTGAACTGAATATTTTATTAATAGAGTTTAATGACATTTTTTCATTACTAAATAACAAAAGACTTTGGGCTTTTATGCGTAAATCAATAAATGCACATAATAAATATATTACATACATAACAATATATATAAATACGTATGTGATTTATACATGCTTAGATACCAAAAATTGTTTTTATATTGTTTCCAAAACAGACAAATTTTCGAGCTTTAGTTAAATAAAATAAGATCAGTCCCGAATTTTCAAGTTGTCAGCTATATTTATTCCAATAAACACAAATTGCTAAGTAGATGCAGATAAGGATAAACAGTTAAATAACTAAATATAGTTAACTTGTTAGAATATTGATTGAAATAAGTAGTGTCTATTTTCCTACATTTGAGGATTGTCGAGTTTCTGGCCTGTTCATCCCGCTTAAATGAACAAATTTAGTAGTTCGATTTGATAGCCAGCTGAGTCGACCTTATTTTGATCGAGTTATAAAATGCAATTAATACGAGTACCTTCAATATCCTGGCAGTCATTAAAAGGGGTCGCACTCGACTGCTGGCCCCCTTCTTCGTTCCTTATGCCCCAAATTCTAATGAAATTTAAATTATTGCAATGCGCGCACAAGCGCAAATGAGAGAGAACAAGGACCAGGAAGGCAACACGCACATGGCACATGAAAGGACACACTCACGAGGCCGAGGATGCGATACGGATGAGGATGCTGTAAATGTATCTGTATCTGTAGCTAAAGCTAAAGTTGAACCTCAAGCTGAAGACGCAAATTTCGTGGCCTTTTTCTCATTAAGCTGATGCGAGATGCGAAGGCAAGCGCGAGTTAAAGCCTTACCTCAGACGTAGGCAATACGCGACACACACACAATCACACACGGGTGCCATAAATTATTTGCGCCAACCCTTGGAAAAAAAAGCGTCGCGCAACTTTTTAAGAGTACAAGCAGCCAAAGAAGTAGAAGAAGCAGCCGGGGCAGCAGACGCAGCATTTGTTATAAATTAAGTGATGGGGGTGCTCACTGGCAACAAACGCCAAGGGGGTGCGGGAGCTTCAGGAGCTGTGTACAGGCACAAGCGTTGTGGAGGTGGGCTTATTGCTAGCAACCCTGTGACTTTTACCGTTACACAAGCGAAACAAAACTGAAATAAAATCAAAGAGACAAAAGGCAATCGTAAACCGAATCTCAAACACCCTCACCAAAGACAAAAAAAATTTTATGAACTAAAAAAAAAAATTAAATAAATTTGTTCAATTACAATAAATAAATGCATACATACAATAAATACATATCGAAAAATGTCTATTAAGTAATTTTATGGATATATAATATTTATATTAAACTATATACTTTGTATATAAAGAATATACAAATTGCAAAGCTGTAACTGTAAACATATATAAAGGATATTTAGTGTTCATCTCTGTTTTATAAATTTACAAGTTAATAAATTTGCGTCTATGCTTATAATATCCAATAAGTGTATCACATTAATATATAAATAAATAAATTAAATATACAAATATGTAGTATTCTTACTCATATTAGCACACTATTCTCAAATTTTTCAAACATCATAACAAAGAATTCATACTTTTCCTAGTTAGTGTGTGTATTTAAAAAGTGTAATGAAAAAAAATTTGCATATTTTACAGCAAGGAGCCGGCTGCTGCTGCTCTGCAGATGGGGTTGTTCCTGTTGTTCATCTTTCTCTTTTAGTTCACCTCGCGTGCGCGTTTGAGCTTTTGGCCATAAATAAAGCAGAGACGAGCCTGTGGCTGGAGCTGGGGTAAGTGGCCGCAGCAGCAAATGCAGCAGCAATGGCTGAGCATAAAAAGTAATTGCAAATGCAGGCGTTCAGCCAGAAAGAGAAGGGGTGGGCGAGTCGAATGAGATAGGGTTGAGCTGTCATTGTTTTAACCCTTTGAGAAACCCTTTAACGCAACCCTTTTCTGGCAAGTGGACAGCAGCAAAACAAGTTCGACCAATGGGCAGACTGCTAGGCGCAGATTTAACCCCTTCACAGGGACTGTTGGTCGAGTGGGAAGGAGCACATGCCACGCCTACAGCAAGTGGATGTAGGCCGGCTCCCACCACTCTGACTAGCTGCGTCCCTCCCTCCCTTCGATAGCATTGAATATTTTACTGGAGTTTTTGTTTGCTTTTTTTTTTTTTTTTTGGTTGAAAACTTTGATTTCATTTGATTTGCTTCAAATGCGCCAAAGTTTCTTCAACTGGAAGACAGAGGCAGCAGCAGCAACAACAACAACAACAACAGCTACAACAAATTGGGGAAAAGTACATGAGAGAGCGTACCAAAAAATATATACGTATATGCGGCAAACAAATTAACAGTCCAGTGATTATTGTCAAAAGCAAAAATCGTGGAGGCCAAAACAAGTGCCTATCAACGCTGCAAAAAACTTTACGCAGAGGCACGCCCACCGCCCACCATTGGCCAGGCCGTTTCAAAATTAGAAAAGGGCATAATTTTAATGAACTTTTTTCTGAGAAGTTGCCCCCGTCTCCTGCTCGCCAGCTCGTGCTGCGTGGCACTCGTGTAAGCAGCAGCAGCTGTCGTAAGGACTTACCAAGTTTTTGCTACTGCTACTTGTCCTGGCTTTCGAGCGCACTTGGCTTACAAAGTTTCTCTCTCATACTCTATCACACTCTTGCTCGCCCGCTTCTTCTCTCGTTTTCTTTTCTCTTTCAAGTGTGTAACGAGTCCTGCTGTTGATCTTTGCAATGCTTAGCTGTCCTGGCATTAATCACTTCCACTCAATCGCAGCTCGCTTCTAATTGCAACAGCCTTCGCCCGGTTCACCGTTAGGCAAACAAAGTGCAGCCGCCGCGTGCCTACTATCCAACTGTAAATCTTAATGTCGGCTCAAATTGCGTCGCATGTTGCATGCCAAACATTGTGGCACACCTGCCCCTGCCCCTGCCCCTGCCCGAGGCAACTGCTACTGCAGCTCTTAGCTGACAGTTGACGCAATTTGTGCCTCACGCCTGATTGCAGGCCAAGTGCGCCAGCAAATGAAGTGCCAGCACAACAAAGGA